GCACAAAAACCGTTTCGGCGAACATTTTTACCCTATGATGGGGCGGAAGTGGTGTAGTGGCAAGTGGCACGCTTACCACGCGAGCGGTCCGGGGATCAAATCCTGGGTCGTGAGTCGCCCGGGCCAACCAAGCCTTCCATCCCTCCGGGGTCGGTTAATTGGTACCAGACTTGTCTGGGAGGATAAAATGACTTGTACATCGGCTGGCCCCCGCAAGTCATTGTATAGGCCACATCGCATTCAAACGCCACTACGAATGTACAAATGGAAGTAGAATGCGTGCCGCATCCCAAAAAGGGATTGATCAACGGCAAATGCTTTATCCTTTATCCTTTATAGTCTTCAGGGCAGCATGGGTGGGGGTCTATCTAATTTTTCATATATGTGTAGCTTTATCACGACCTATGGTAATAAATGAAAGATCTGCAGTAGTGATAATCTGGAGCTCTCAAATTGTGAATTTGTATTTTAGTGCATAGAAAATCAAGCGTCCATGCCGTCTCGGTCATTATTTCCACCGCTGGACGGGAACTACGAGAAATACTATGAAATGTTGCGAGCACTAGAACAGCTGGATGCAACGTGTTTCTATGGGCGACCATTGGGCTTTCAAGTGAGTAGATATCGCCTTTTTTTGGAATCTTCTTTTTGTGCTTCATTTTCATTAGTTCTGTTGTTTTACGGTTGTTTCTACCGCAGCCCTGGTGCTGTACTCTGTCGCTCCCACAATCACTCAATTAGGCGTCTTGACGTCAGCTTTAATGTGGAGCACTTCTTCACTCCTAAGTAAAGACTTTCTATGTCTGAATCTGATAGAATGTCATTCACACGTTAGTGAAGCAAGGTAGAAATGATAAAAACTTATGATTAATCTGTCGTTCCCGATAGAAATATTACAGTAGCAGATGAGGTGTGACTGTTGGTTTCTGTTACATGTTAACACGTTGATGACCATGTGGTATGATGTCATACCACACTTTCACATGGAGCAGACTAGTTTTCCTTAATTTTTTTGGCGTTTTTTCTGTTCCACAACGGTCCATGTACATTATTGGATCCGAAAAACAATTTTTCATTACTGATAATGAAAACGCTGAAGGATTAATGCCTATTGATGAGAGAATACGAAAAATGTTGAAGCAGTGCGCGCACAACGGCGGTCGTCAACGTGTTAATACGGATTATTTCATGTACTTTATTTAGCCCACGAATACTTCCCCTCCTTTTTAACTTGTGAGAGAGTGATTTTGTTGTCGAATATGCACAAACTTTCGAGGTACCTCTGTTTCCCATGTTAGCACGTGCCGCAATTGCAGACTCAATAGCACACATGGCGACGGCTTCGAAAAATCAGCGCGTGGTGTTGTGACGATCTGGAATACTTATTGTTAGTACCCAATTACTAGACTGGTCGCCCTGGGAGACAGAGCCTTCCTACCTGGGTTGTCAGCTTTTTAAGCTTTCCCATTTTCGAACCTGGCTAAACATCTCTAAAATTCAAATACAATCTAAGGTATCATCCGTCTCGATCTGATTCTCACCTCATTTGAAGTAGGCTATGTAGTAAGCGTGCCGATCAGCTTTGAAGAAAATGAATCCGCATTAAGCTGTCAAGAAAGTTGTCAAAGATGGCGTTATAGGATACGGAGCATCCCCTAGGATTAAGCCTGGGAGGGGCAGGTATTTCTGAGAAGATGAAAATTGCTCACGCATCGTGCAGTCTTTATTCGTCCGCCCCACGGCTTTGTCGCGTCTTCAACGTAAAAAGTGTTTTACACGATTTTAAAAGCACTGTTGCTCTTATAACCTTCAATAGCGCCTTTAATTTTATAACAGTTTTGTTATTTTTACTGTATATAATTTTTAAAATTTTTTTTCAGTTCTCACCTTCTGTAAATAGGATATTCCGAGTGATAGGTATCGTACTTGCGTCCTACAGTTTATCATGGGAAAAAGGACATGGTCCGATCGGCTCAATAATAAATACGGGTCGATTTTTTCTTAGTCCAGAACAGCGAGCATCACGAATCGTCAAGGTAATTTTTTACCACAATCGGGCCAGAGTGGAAAATGTTTATGTGTAGTGCTCTGACACATCATTTTAGGTTACAAAAGAAGCGGATATCGACTTTTGTAAGGGATTCTGGAATCTGGCGGAATTGAGCAACGTAAGGACATCATTTTTCGATTCCACTTCTTTTTTACTTTTCTGTATATTTTCCCATTCGTAGGCGAAAGTGGTGTGGTGGCAAGCGGTGCCGCTCACCACGCGCACGGTCCGGGGATCGAAAATTGGACTGAACCTCTATTAGACCAAGCGAGCCTGTTACCTCCTGGATTCAGATGATAGTACCAGACTCGCCGAGAGGATAAGAAACAGTGACGTGTTCGCTGGCTATCCCTGCTACCATTATGGGGTACCTGACAGGAGCCCGTCGCGCGGCAAGAAGGCAAGTCAGCGGACGAGTCGCAGCGCGTACTGTAGGGATTTCGCGTCAAGTTAAATAGAATGTCCATTGCACGTCCTACATCGCACATCACGCGCTGCGACTCGTCCGCTGACTCTGCCTTCTTGCCGCGCGACGGGCCTCCTTCGGGTATTTGCGCTCGCATAACTTTTGAATGTCTGCGTAATAGAAAATGGGAGCGAGTAGAAGCCATATCGGAAGCTTCAGTGGCTCATTGCGAACACCGCCAGCTCTTCAAGTCAATCGTGGTCGCGCACGCACTACAATATGCTTACAATTGTGAAAATACCCGTATACATGGCGCATTCCAGAGGGCATGAGTAACAATCTTGAGTTTCAATTATGCAACTGATATGAAGACTGCAGGTTAAGTCTTATGAAAACCGAAGACTTTTGGTGAATCCTTGAGGTAAATCGTCGTTTTTCAGAACATGCCAAAATGGTTCAGTCCGAATATGGCCGTTAATGAATTACGCGAGATCAATTGGGTGGGTCCCATCACTTTGGAGACCACTCAAGGCGGTAAAGTGAAAATACCTGAACCAACAGCACATACGGGACCACGTCCAGTACAAATACGTATCCTATCACCTGTACACCGACCTCACATGGTAATTAGTTTTTTTTTACTCTGCTTTCAAATCTATTTATTTTATAACTGTTATAGTCTCCAACGGGTAGTTCAAATCAGCAACCAGCCTCACCTTATATTGTATTTCATTGCCATGGTGGAGGATACGTCGCCACGTCAAGTAAATCGCATGAGGTATCAGTACATTCCTGCTAACCTGTGTTAATTCTTTGAATGGTCCCACACATTTTTATTTTTTCTTCGTCATATTAATGAATTTTAATTGTCTAACAACAATTGCTTTAGACCTACCTCCGAATGTGGGCAAAGCTTTTGAATTGTACGGTGGTATCAGTGGAATACTCCTTAGCGCCGGAGAATCCATTCCCACGGCCCACTGAAGAAGTAATGTTTGCATATGCTTGGATCATCAATAATCCACATTTAGTCGGTGAGTGTCTATTTATTTTTTATTTAATGCTGTTAGAGCTACCACCATATCAGCCACAGTCATCGATAAAAATTTGAAAAAAAAATCGGTGTCATAAGTGATAGTAGGTAGCGCAAAGGGTCGTAGCGCCCGCCTGAATGTCGCGAGACATTCTTTTGTGGAACATCAACTCTGCTACAAAAATCCAATATCTCACAAACCTTGAATAAAAAAAATCCAAGCTATTTCTTTATACATTGCCCCCACCAATATGTTGACACATAAAACTATTTAATATCATTTCTAACTTTTTTTATTGTATGCGACTTGGACTTGGCCCCACTCAGTGGTTCCTTCTTTTCCTAGTAGAAGTCAAGGGTGTGTCTCATTCTGAAGGAAATATTCAAACTCAACCAGTTAACTCGTCACCGCTTGTTATGTCCCTTGGTCGACTTGTGCTAGTTGCCGGCTTTGTGGAGAGCATAGATTTTATTTCATTTTTTTTAAAACAGGTTGGACTGGCGAGAAAATGTGTATGGTTGGCGATTCAGCTGGTGGTAACTTGATAATGTCAGTGAATCTTCGACTTATTGAATTGGACGTGAAAAAGAAGCCAGATGGTATCGTCCCCGTATACACACCTTTTTTATTTCAGGTAATTTTGCAAATTTTAATTTGGAATATCCTTCCGTTACAAAAAGCGAGGTTCTTGTAGTAGCAAGCGCACATCCCGTATTGAATTTTACCAGAGTCGAGCAACCTTCAATCTTTTCTTTGTAGTTTAACTGGTACCAGAATTGGCTGAGAGAATGTAGGCCTTGTTCTACACATCTGCTATCCCCACAATCCACTAGATAGCCTATCTCGCACACACAGTAGCGGTCAAAAGTGTTCGCCGAAACGATTTTTAGTGCATTTTTTCGCTTGAGCAACGCCCTCCAAAGATTGATATACTATGTTTTCTAGTGTTTTTATATCCTCAAGCCTTAAAGAATCAGGATATTCAAAAGAAAAAATTTTCGAGGCCACCATTGATTTTTTTCTGGCAAAAAAGAGAAGCACGGAAAACCGTTTCGGCGAACACTTTTGACCGCTACTGTAAATACTCCTACGATTGCAAATCGAAATGAGATGCGTGGTGCATCCCTAAAAGGGTCTGATCAACGCCGAACTCTTTACCCTTCTTACCAAAGCCCATTGACATGCAGTGCTTGTCCGCAGTGGTTTTTAGGATAATCATCTAAGTGTTTTATCTCACAGCTGATTCAACACCGTTGCAGTGAGCGTTGCTTATCTTGGACAAGAGCAAAAAAATCTGGGACCAGAAATGCTCAGTGTCTAACCTACTTCTCACCTTGGTTTAGCCGAATCTGGGCTCCTGCATACTTTCAGATACCATGTTCTTGCATATTCATTTGCGTGGAACGTTTTGTACATTTTCTAGTAATGCAGTAGTGAGAGAATGGGTAGGGACGGACGAGATTGGTAGCGGGGTAGCTGGAGTCGAATGTGACACCTTCCGTCTTCTTCGTTGTGCGCTAACCCCTCAATCGACTGAATTTTTACTGGATGATTTGTGATAGATCGAGAACACATTTTCGTTTTTTTTTCCTCTTAGAGTGGAGTCTTGGGCGCAAATGAGCGTATCAGTCACGCTAACGTTAATCCTCGCTTTTGTGATAGGTTAACGCATTTACTTTTACTGATTTCCATTGCTTGTTTCAGTATCTACCTTCGCCGTCTCGATTATTGAGTGTAATGGATCCTCTTCTTCACATGGGCGTTGTTCTGCGATGTGTTGCCGGTAAATTTGTTCTTCTTGAAAACTTTTTGCTGTGGGATAGTTGAAGAAGTCTCACTAGTCCGGCGCCAGGCTCATGAAACAACGATTTTGAACGCATAGATGCGCGAAGGGGAACAAGATTTAGCCTTTCTGAAAATGCCATTTGCAATGATATGAGGGCCGTATTGTTGCATAGAATTAGCTAGATTAGGACGAATCCCCACACATTTCCTTCCTCGAATGTTTGCAAAAGCTTGGGCCGAACCGGGATTCGAACCCGGGACCTCTCGCACCCGAAGCGAGAATCATACCCCTAGACCATCCGGCCACTGTTGGAGTTCAGCGAACGCTGACACATATCGAACGGGTGTTCTTCCTGAGCATCACGTGCTTTTCATAATGAACAGCTATTAGTCGCATATAGCAACAGTTTGATATTGAAGTTTTCAGCATACACCGGAGGTCATGGCAGCTTTCAAAAGAACGAAGAAAACCAAGATAATGCTGGCCATAAATCCTTGCAGGAGTACGTGGAACAAGTACAGAAATCGCAACGATTTGATTTTGCGGTGGGTACTGTTTGCAGTTCTATTTAGTGAGTTTTCACCTGAAAATTCGTAGAATATTTTTCTAAACCAGGGGTTGTGGAATGTTTTCTAAGTAGAAATTGTAGAACATTTTGTAATAATGTCATTTTTTATATATGCAAATCTGCGGAACACTCAGCTTAATTCAACTGTAGTTTCGCTCAAGAGGGGTTTTAACGGGTAGAGGGCAATTTGCAGCACAAACTGTTAGATGCTGATCAAACAGTGGATGCGCCACGCATTTGATATCGATCGGCTTTACACAGGTCACACTTGAACACTATTTGGCCAATACATTAGCTTCCTAGGGTTATTGTATTCCGACCACAGTTTTATTTGAAATATCGAGAATGTTGCGAATAAGTACTTTAAAGGGACTTAGTTAGACCTGAATCCTAAACGCAGACTCGTGATATGGCACTCCTTTCTGAAGTCATAAGTCAAGTCCTTTCTGCAGCGCTATCAATCTGATGGGCGATTTTTCGTATAAGATGAGCTGGTTCTCCTACAAAGAATTGTATCACCACTTGTATTGATTCCCTTTAGGGTGGTTCTCAATCAATAGTGTCGCTGGTTCAGAACGTGAAAGATCCCAATGAGCAAATACTACCGACCGAACCCGGCTCCTTTTTCGTAGACAAAGAAAAGCACGAACGGATTGCTGAAGATGATGTCGAAGAGGATGGTAGCGAGGAGGACGAGGACACGCGGAGTGTGAGCAGTGTTCATGTGAGTACTTCGGCTAATATTGGACGTTTGTCTTTTTCTACTTTGACATACTTACACTTTGGTTCCTGTGGCCTCACTCTTGCAGATTGCCGATGCACACGGCACAATAGTGATCATTGAGAACATCGAAAAACACCCATAATATACGTTTTTTTTTCGAAGTCGTCGTCACGTGTACTGTTGATTCTGCAATTACGACATGCTCGGGCGTGGGAACCGAGTAAACACTATTCTTTTTTTCAGATCGGCTCTGATCCCCTGCATATACAACTTTCCTCCACAATCTTCGATAATCAACTGCTAAACTACCTCATCAAACATCCCACAACTAAAGAGTTAGTCAATTTAGTAGAAGTTTACCCCTGTGGCACACTTATATTCGCTTATAGCTCCTTGACAATGGTTGACGAGAACGGTGAAGTGGTCGAAGACATCGACGAAGGCCTTATGGCAAATCCATCAGTACACGACGAGAAGGAGAGGAAACGACCGGGTCTTCTGAATGTCATCAGTGGTGCAGCTTCGAACACTGTCCCAAACACGCCATGTGAAGGTCGAGGCGGGATCATCAGCAGCACGTCATCGAACAATTTTCAGAACCAGGCTTCTCAGGTGTTGTTTGCACGTCCACTACTCAAGCTCCTACCAGATACCGGCTATGATTTGTATGACCCTGTCGTAGTGTTAGGACCCGTTAGGAATCAAGCACTTTTGATTTAACTGCTTGAGTGCACACAGTTGCACCTGGAGCGCTATCCCATTAAGGGGGGAATTGTTCGTTAGCAACACGTCAGAACCACAACAAGCGAGTCTATTTAGATTGGGAGCATGCGATGTGATAGTTTTTTCCGCCTACCGTAATTCCAATTTATGCAGGAACGCGGTTTTGGGGAGTTTGTAAAATCGAAAGCGAATAGCCAACACGCCCCTGGATTTCTCATCCCTGCAAAAATTGGGAATACTGCGGTGATTACACGTCAGGAAGCTCATCGAGCGGCAGTAGGAGAAGGACGCAGATGGATTATTGGGCGGGTTGACAACTTCACAGTTCCTTATGCCTACGCGGTCTTCTCCACTACTGCCTATTTGAATCAACGCTGGAGCAACACGAAAACTCGTCCACTGGTTTTTCGTTACCGATCCCTTGCTGCGCAGCAGACCTCGGATGGTTACCCTACCGCGGCGAAACGATATGTCACACCACATGCCCATCCCCTCCTTCTCCTGCTGCCTTTGTTGGAATGGATTTCTATTAACGACCAATTTCAACCCTTTCGGACCTGAATTTTTTCCGTGGAGAAATTTTCTTCTAGCTATTGTTTATTACTTGTGAGCATATAGTATCATTATGGCGAAATTTGGAAGCTATTCGATCACAAACTAAGAAACTAGGAAGCTTTGAAAATTGGCCCACCTTCTTAGTTTTTAGCTTATGTCGAAACAATTCCAAATTTCATAGTTATGCCGAAAAAGTTTATAATCTTGCACAACATTATAACCCATAATTTTGATTTAAGAATGGATCTACTTCAAGTATTTTAAGAAAAAGTGACACTTACTTGGCCGGTTGCGGGGACCAGCGTCGATTCATTGTTGCACTTGTACACAAATACTTGTAATACTAACAGCAACACACAATGAAATGGCAGGTTTAGCTCATAATTAGGAAGGGGAAGGTTGACTGAAGCAACCTCTAGCAGGATTAGGAAAAACCATGCTGTTTCAGCGGCAATGCAAACATTTGAATTTGGTGGTGGCAATTGCCACCGCCAGGGCCGAAAGGGTTGTGAGCTATGGGGGGGGGGGGGTAAAGATTTTGGGCTTGGTTAATTTCATTGTGTCGCTTTCGCTTCTCCTAGGTTATGTCTATGGGAATCAAGGAAAGAAAACTCGTACTCATAAAAACTGAAAGACAATGAAGCCGCTAGCAACTTCAAAGGAGTCTCTGAGCAGAACTATGACCAGAGCAGTTCACACGAATAGCCATCCTCCCCCTTTCTTCCGTGGCCATGCTACAGTAGCCGCTATGCAATGTTTTATATTGGTCATTGAAGTCAATTCTGGTATTTTGTTTTTTTTTCAGGTCGCATAAGGATTCTTCACAAAGTCTTGCTGACACAGCTGTTCTAGCAGCAGGACACGCCCTCGACAATTTGCAGGATTGGTTTGAAAAGCCTAGCAAAGAGAAGCAAAAGCTCGATCGAACCGTTTCATACGGAACGACTAGAAAAGGAGGTATTTTTGAAGAAGGCTTTGTAAGAAATTTCGATAATCACCGTAGTACCTTTGGTTTATGGTGAGTTCACTGTAGCAGTGATGACTCCTGAAACCAATCTCTTCCTAAAAATCGCGGTGAAAACGTGTTTGACAGGAATTTTATTCTTTGCGGTTCTATCTCAACAATATGAGTCTTGAAGCGGGAAAGTGAGTCCGTGCGGATTTCCCTTGCAAACATTGGAATTACAGTAGGCAGCGCTAACCTCTTCCAAAGGGCGCACTAAATGACCCTTCCCTCCTTTTTGGAATAGACGCGCCCGTGCCCGATTTTGGGGACGAGTGCGCGCGTTTGGGTGTGGACAAAGGGTCGGTCCTATCGTTGTTACTTTTTCAAAAATTTTACGACCCCCCTCCCCCAAGGTGGACTTGATACGACCCCCTTTTCGACACCTCGACCACCATCATCCTCTCTATAGTATTTAATTCTGGTACCACTCAACCCACCAAACTCCGCCCACTTTTTCCTCCAAAAATGCCGTCGAGCGGGGGGGGGGTATATACGCGTGCTGAAACGGCAAATTTTTTCCGCACGCGCCAGTTGTCTAACACTATACTCGTTGAAAACTCACGTCACCACGATCGGCAGTAGAGTTTCACACGGGCTATGAAGCCAGATAGACCCCCCCCCTCCCTATCAACTCGAACCAGGTACGACCTCCTCCGTTTTTACTAGTACAACGCAGGGTTGACCTGTGTGGTGATAAGGGGTGTGCCCTGGCAGGAGATCGTGAGCAGGGGTTTTGTGCAAAACCAATTTGCAGCTATTGTTGAGGAAGCAACGAAGGTGCATGCCTCTTTGCCATGCATGTGGCCAAGTATCGGCAAGGACGGATGCAGCGAACTCGTCCGTGCCTCACCCATTTCATGTGTCTAATCACACATTCGCGCGGGTCGTTAGGACTAAACGCGAATTCGCCATGCAAAGTGATCACCTGACGGTTGTGCGCAGCAGCCTCACTTCCTAGCGGGTCTACAGGACGCGATGTTCTGATTGTGGTGTGTTGGTCCGATTGTGGCAATGAGTCCAATCTCAAGCAACATAGGGCAAGCTCCATTGGAATAAAGCGTTGTCATAAGGCGTGGATCATCTTTGGCGCCTGCGCAGGCATGAGCTATGTAACTTGAATTCAACGATGCCTCAATCCGTTCGATTCTATACGAAGTTATTACGAATAGCACTTATTTCTTTTGACACGGGTCAATCAATTTAAAAGGAGATTTTAGGAGCCATGCGTACGTAAGTCGTTCATATTGGACCTGTTGAGTAAGAGCTCTGTGCCACGTGATCCGTTGATATCGCCAATGTACGCAACCGATGAAGTCATACGACAATTGCCACCAGTTTATTTTGTGGTGAGTCACCATAGTAAGCCGATATTACTGCTAATCGTGTACTTTTTGTGTTCCTGGATATAGAACCGGCTTACGAGCTCTCGCCTCTGATCACCCTGATCAATACAGGAGTTTGGGTGTAACTGGCATGACAAGTATGAAGAGAAAGGGGATAAAATATTGTGTGGAAAGTTTATCGTGGAGTGTTAAGAATTTGTCTCGTATACATTTCGCTATTATTTGTATGTGAGCTCTGGTGCAGCTCCGAGACAAAATGCGTACAACCACGCTATGCCTTAAAGGAATCTTCCACGGAAAGAGTGATCATTTTGTCTGTGTGTAGGATTAGTATTATCGAAACTAACGCTTATGTTCCGTTCTTTTTGCTATGCATGAGGCTAGGGGCCTAAGGTATCGTTTTTCTGTGGTAATGGAGGGCTTTTCGTGGAATGATCCTTTAAAGGCCGTAGAGGCGACTATGTTAAGGGTACTGTACCTGTAAGGAAGGAAAAGCTTTCAGGTGAAAAAAAAAACTTTAGAAAGGGGTGTATGCCAGGATGAGTCGTGGTAGAGGATTTTTCGCGAGGTGTCATTTTTGTTGCCGTGGTGATAGGCCTTCCCCTTGACGCCAATTTTGCAGGAGTTTTGGGGCGGATTTCGGAGTACGCCACGTGGCATCATGGTCAACAACACTGATAGACACAATCGACCAACGAATGATGGGAGAGGGTTTGTGGGACAATAGGGAGGAGGTCGTATACATCATGGGGGTGAGAGAGGGATGAAACTCCAGTTCGGGGGGCCACTCCATTTTTTCTCCAATACTCAAGATAAGGATTAGAGGGCTCACGACACGTAATCGACTCATTTAAAGTATACTTCTGATAAGTATCGGTGTAATGTGGAAGAAACCCTGAAATGTTTCACATTTCCGCCTGCCATGGTCCAAGGGAACGGTCCTGGACCAGGAGAATGGACACCTCTGCCTAGGGCTAAGGGTGGAGGAGCTCCAGGGTGGATCACCTGTGCAGAAAAGTGGATGGATGTGGGCAGGTGTGTGGAATGTAGGACATCCACCGGTCCTTATCAAAAGTACGCTCGAAATGAGTCGTTTACTTATTATCTTATCCATAGTGTTCGATAGCCCAAAGAACTGCTCTCTAGTACTACGGATAAGATAGCAATGGAGTGCCCCCCCCCGAACTGGAGTTTCACCGAGAGAGGTAGGGGTCGTTTGGGCAAAAAATTTTTCGACTCGTAGTTCACCATAATGTACACCATCAAACTTAGCTCACACTAAGCTTTTCCATAACCCTTTAGTTATACGCCTTACATTCTTTCACATTGTGGTGGCAAACACAAAGAGTTGCCTTCAAAAGAGTGCTAAATCGAAAACGATATTAGTGGAACAGGAATTGTGAATCGGAATTAAAATTTGAAAAAAAAACAAGAAAATGAAATCTCCTTGGCACAGGTTCCATTTCAGTTTGTTGGTTTTCTTTCAACTTAGCTCCTTCAATAGTTTTTATCCACCACGTGAAATAAGCTTAGTGATATAGCGAAGAAGTACAGTAGGATAGTAATGAGCAACTATCATTGTTCTTACCATGTTGCCACTACACGAAATTTCCGTCTATTGGCTCTGGCACGGGCCTTTTGGCCTGTGATTGCTCATGACTAGGGTAAACCATGACGTCTAGGGACTTTTTAAAATTCCATGATTCGTCTTCCTCTCTGCGAGATCGTCACTGGACATACAGTTGCGGTCATAAGTGTTCGCCGAAACGATTTTTCGTGCATTATTTTTTCTCGCTTGAGCAACGCCCTCCAAAGATTGATATACTATGTTTTCTAGTGTTTTATATCCTCAAGTCTTAAGAATCAGGATATTCAAAAGAAAAATTTTCGAGGTCACCATTGATTTTTTTCTGGCAAAAAACAGAAGCACGGAAACCGTCGGCTAACACTTTTTACCGCTGCTGTATGCAGTTCATCCTAACACGCTTTCAACTCCGCTCCCGCAAAAATAAAATTAAAAGCTCAAATATTCAATGGCAGAAAGGGTGGGGGAGGCTGAAAAGTAACTGTCGGGACGATAAGAATATCGAAACACATTCGAAGTTTTTCAAATTTTGGGAAGATTTTTCTTTCATTTGCACCCAACTTCCTGAAAAATTTCCTCTTTTTATAGCTCTCAGAATTATGACCCTGTTTCATCAAGCTTGACCTTCTAAAATCCTGAATGCATCTCTCCCACCTGAGCCAGCCGGACGGACGGTTGACACTGCTCTTGACCCAACACTTTTTATGTCGCTTCTGATTTGTAGCTTCAGGGCTTTGTTTCCAAAATTTTTTCTCAAAGGTGATAATTTCATTCAAGGCTTGTCATCTGGATCCGCTTCTGGATGACACAATCGCTTTCGCTCAACGGGTTCAAGCGGCCGGCGGCCGAGTTGCGTCCGTGGACCTGCTGCCTGCTGTTCCACATGGTTTCCTCAACTTCACTTTAATGTCTCCAGAATGTCGTCGTGGTGCCAAGATCTGTTTGCAACGAATCAAGGAAGCACTTGGTTACGTGGAAAATTCGGTGATTTAGGTGTCATTCATAATTGTAAATACAATTTTGTATAATTTCTTGATTGCCGTTCTTCTACAGCTCGCATTCTATGCCATATAATAACAATTTTCGACACGGGAAATTAAGGGTATTAGTCAGACCATTTGCTGACCAGGACAAAACTGCAATGTGAAGAATCTGCCCCAATGATTTCGAGAAACAGTAGTTTAACAAAGTATAATAATCCATTCCTTGTATTTATTGGTGCAAACCTTTAAATTATCAGTCTTGAAAATAATCCTTTAATTATTGTAAATTTGTGTGATTGTTTTACAACGTAATTATCAATTACCATTCAATGTCAACGCAATGCTCATTGATGTGAATAACAAAGCGTTTAATAATTTCAAGTGCTGTTATTTATTCTGTAAAAAAGGCGGACAAGTAACGCATGTTCGATATTTGAATGGAATCCTGTTAAAAATCCTATTTCTATCCCATCCATAATTCACTGGCTTGGGACCCATCGTTCACGATAAGAACGAAAAGAACAAAAAATTGCATTTGTTTTGGTAAAAATTCGAAAAACGAAAGGGCTGCTACGCGTTCAAAGTACCGCCGGACATCTGTCACAAATGCTGGCGACGGGAATGCTTCCACTTGGTTCTTGGAGTGCCGTCACTAGAAAACTCTTTCTGGCCTTTTGACTTATTGCATTCACATCTCACACTTCTACTCCATCCTATTCTATCGATCGATTTGTCTCTACTCTCCAAAATCGCGCGCTTTAACCCGATTCTTTCATTGCGTCGCCTGATACGTAGCCGCCCCAAGGCGGACTTCTTTCCATGCCCTTTTTTGGCTCTGCGCCTGCCATGGATTGTGGTTTTTGTAAATTTGTTTCTCTTTGGAAACTGAATCTTTGTGCGTGAAATCTTTGTATTGTGTCTCTGTGATGCAACTGACATGTATGTTGGGAAAGACTGCAAGATTTTTTCGGGAAAGATTCCTTCAAGAAAGTGGCAAAGGTAGCCTTTTCGACAATCCAGAAGTTCATAGATGAGTATGAATTTGAAGCGGAGTAGGAGCAATCTATCTATGCTAACGAAAAGGCGCTGAAGAAAAGCTCTCATACGACACTGAGTTCGAACGCGCCCACCACACTAATAAGAAGCTGGCAAAATGGTTACGGCAGCGTCTAAGGAAACAATCACAATCAAGAGGCAGCACATCGGGGAAGCACGGAGAGGGGACAAGAAAAGCTCCCCTCCATGCTAAAAAAAGGATTAGCTGTTAGGTCTAACCCGAATGAGCCCAACTGGAAATTGTGGAGCCCATTCTGATCTATTAAAAAAAACTACATAACAGCCACCGACGATCAGAAGATTTTCCCACGGAAACATGGTGCACGGTACGAGCTCAACGAGGTCGTCGAGATACCATAGACCATTACGACGTCTCTGAAACGCTGGTCAAAAGCGGTCTTGCATAGTCACAGCTAGTGTCTCTGAGAAGCTATTCACCAGTTAATGATTGAAGAAATTATGTAGCAGCTTCAGGCCTTGAGCTATTACTGTGGTCTTCCTTATGCTCGACGGTGATGGTCAAATTTTGAAGAGGGATGGGGAGCGGCAGTGGAGGGGGGCTGTTCCAGCTCAAGGGGGAAGTCTAGGAAGTGTTTTGCTGTGAAACTTTCACCAACAGCGGCACCCTGCTTGACGAAAACTTTGATGATATGCGTCATAGGCCAAGTGACTTTTTTTGCCCCCCTCCCCTCGCATCTGCGCCAAACGAAGCAGTAACCTGGCTGCTAAGGAAGCGAGATGTGGCGCTTCACGGTGAAAGCTGCGCTGGTTGCTGACATAAAAAACGTCTGCCCCAAAAGCGCTCCACCCACTAGTTTAGCTAGACAATTTGGGCGAGCTGTGTTGTCAGCAGACACATGATCCCTCAAGTGGCGCAAGGACATCATGGCCGACTGGTGCTGACTTAAACTGCAATGCTAATCCCAAAGACTTCAGGCTTAGGCTTCCATAGCTTCGTGTGACATGTGTGTGACCATACGACTTAAAACGAGGCCCTTCCTTGTCCCGTTCGCCGAGGGAAGCAGCTTGCTTGAACAACTTCTTCTCTTCTTCTCTTCACTCAGTAGTCCTTCTTTATTGTTCGAATCATTTTTTTTCATAGGTTTGTTGACTTACAACTGTTTTAATAGCTGCCATTATAGTTATCAGTTGATGTTATAATTTTTTCTTTGCTTTGAGTCATGCAGTCAGTCCCACTTCGACTCTCGTAGCAGGCGCGTCATTAAGCGCAGATAATTGAATAAATAAATAAATCCCCACTTTACACCCGGGGATCGACTGTGGAGTTTTCTTCGTGCTCCTTTTGAAAAGTTCCTTTATTGTGATGAATTTTGACACACTGGCAAAGAACAAGAATTCGCCATGTCATAAGGATTGAACATGTGACCACACTCGTATGAAGCAGGACCGCTATCCATTACACTTCCAGGCCCATTGGTATAGCTCTTCTGCTCTTCTTATGCGAGCCCAGGGGGATGTAGAGGATACACAGTGGTGAAGCCACTGCGAAAATATTCTTTCGTTATCTCTTCCAGAATCTTTCCAAAGATATCGAAACCAGATTCAAGGTCAGCATCGCATGACGCGGCATCAAACTACACCTCATCACAAATGATCGGTTCACCATCCATTGTGACTTGTAGGTAAAGTCTTCGTCGCAGGCGAGATTTGAACCAGTGCCTCTTGCTCTTAGGACGGTTGTACTACCGATTGCACCATCGGGGCAACACCTCACCTTAGCCAAGCTTCTGACGGTATATTTTCAACTTGATATGACTGATGGTAATTATAACATGAAGAGCTGGGCTAAGGCTGAACCAGTCGAACCAGCACTACTCCTTACCGATAAAGGATAAAGGATAAAGCATTTGCCGTTGATCAATCCCTTTTTGGGATGCGGCACGCATTCTACTTCCATTTGTACATTCGTAGTGGCGTTTGAATGCGATGTGGCCTATACAATGACTTGCGGGGGCCAGCCGATGTACAAGTCAGTGTTTTTATCCTCCCAGACAAGTCTGGTACCAATTAACCGACCCCGGAGGGATGGAAGGCTTGGTTGGCCCGGGCGACTCACGACCCAGGATTTGATCCCCGGACCGCTCGCGTGGTAAGCGTGCCACTACACCACTTCCGCCCAGGGTCAACCCTATGTTGCTACAAGTAGCAACGGGGGGTCGTACTTGGATGGACCCGGAGGGGGGGGGTCGTACTCTCTCGGTGGCCGGCAGTGGGATTTGTGGTAATCTCCCTACTGATCATAACCATGTTTCAGGAAGAGCATGAGAAAGGAAGACTTGCAGAAACAGCAGCTGCAAGACATGTAGCATCGTTCAAAAAAGTGCTCCCACCATGACATGGGTCCACCCACGAAACCACATTTGAAACTAAAGTGTAGCTGGAGTATTGCCTAAGACAACATGGACAATAGTCACCACATTACGTTTACGCAAGATAATTGATGCTAGAGCATCTGTAAGCCGCTTCCTTCTGAATGAGCTTTCAAATGAATCAGCGAATCAGAGTGCGACCGAGGCGTGGCGCACACCAAGGCAGGGGAAATCAGTGCAAGCGCATGCACAAAGCATTCTAACACATCCTATGGTCAGCACGATATCTTTTCCCTGGACGTTGCGGCCAGTGAAACCTAAAAAAACCGCTTTCTTAAGAGAATGGCTCGGAGAATGCCCCTCAAAAATGTAGCAACGGGACTAATTTTTGAATTACTCACTTTTAAGAAACGTTTGGGTACTTTTTGAAAAGCTTGAATCCTGTAGTTTCTCATACCGGTTCAGCTTCCCAAATAAATGAGTTTGAAGGAAGTTATGGTCGTTTGAAGGTTGAAAAGTCGCGGTTTCAGAAAAATAGTTCCGCGAACCCCCCTAAAATGTAGCAACGGGACTAATTTTTGAATTACTCACTTTTCAAGAACGTTCGGGTACTTTTTAGAAAGCTTGAATCCTGTAGTTTCTCATACCGGGTTCAGCTTCCCAAATAAATGAGTTTGAAGGAAGTTATGGTCGTTTAAATATTGAAAAGTCGCGTTTGCACAGAAAAAAGTTCCAACGTGTTAAATTTTTACTAAATTAGCTTTCGATGAATTTTCAGATATGATTGGAGAGAGAATGATTTGAATTTTTTAAATCAAATAACTCCGACACAAAAGATCGAATATGAAGAAAGTTATAGCCCTAAAAAGAGGAAGGTGGAAAATTGTAGTTGAATTGTTTTTTTCTTGTAGTGCAAACTCATTCCTGCTCAATAACTTAATTATTTCAGACTGTTTAAGAACAAATCCGCTCCACTTGAGAAGGATGACCCTTGCTGATCCAAAATCCACCTCCGTCTTGCGAGAAAACCTGAAATTTTCCAAGCGAAAGTTCCTATACTTCTCGATTTCCCATTTCGACACCTGCTCCCATTCAACAAACGCGCCCCATTACAGCACCCAGCGCGCGATTCAATACATTCGAAACCTGTCAACACGCGTTTCCACTACCTTCTCGGCATTCTCAATCATTTCCCCCACTTCTCCATAATATGACGCCACAACCCACCCGTTTTCTCCAGCGGAGAATGCTTAATGACGTACTCTGAATCTCCTATGAAAACTCACCAGTAGGATTTTGGGCACAATGTGGCTGGGGGAGGGGACACTCTGTAGAAACGTCTCTGGGACTAAGCCTGCGCATTTTGTTTAGTCCTGATCTCGTGAAGTTTGAAATGTTCTATTATTTTATACTTTTCCAGGGTGAAAAGAAACCTTATGATAGAGATAAAAGGAATAAAAAATTGGTATGAATTGTGTCTTCATAAAAATTAGACACAGGGGGGTCGTACCAAATCGCCCATGGAGGAGGGGGTCGTAAAAAAATCCAAAATGTAGCAACGATAGGACCGACCTGCTCCCAGACCGGGTGTGCGTCAAATGGCGCGATCCCATTGGCATTGGAG